GCACTCTAACCTTACTTAGGATGGAACCAATTTTATTTTTTAGTGAAAGGTTTTCGGTTTTTAGCAGTCAGCGTTACGTTAAACTGACTGCCAGAGCTTCTCTAATGCTGGTTTTGCTGTTGTGTTAGTGAGAGCAGTATGACAACAATAGACTCTTGAAATAGAGAGAGAATTATTAGTATTCACATCACATTGAACTGAAAGCATCTTGACCTGGAACAGAAAAATGATTGACTTGTTTTATATCAGAAAATTTAGACTTTTAATGAACTAAACCAAATGGGGAAAATTGTCTAGTACTTTCAGTTTAGATTATTAGCTATATCATTCTTTTTATTCATGAGTTCAAAAGTGTTTATTTCAGTAACGTAAGTACCTTAGACAATGATAGGATAAGTAGCACATTTGGTTTCCCCAAACTTATGATGATTATAGTAAACCTATGTACAAGTTAGTACCTTTACATATCATTTCTTCATCACAGTTTATTGTTTCAAATAGATACAAAATAATGGAATTTGTTAGCGTATTAAATAATTTCCAACTATATTGGGCGAGTACAGAAACGGGTTAAAGAAAATGTTGTGAGACCATATGATTCTTATTGTTTCCCCTTATGGAAGTATTGTCTAAAAGATTTGAAATGGTATAGGAAGAATGTCTGGTTATGTATAAATAGAAGTTTTTCATGCAAAGTCCTTCTAAGCTTTATGCCTATGCAGCTCACCTTGCCTCTTTCTTCAAATGAATTTGCTAGTTGATTGATTAAAATTCAGATGAATATTATGTTTTACAAATCAAATAATTATAGCATCTCATGATTGTATTTATCTTACATCTCATTTAATTTGAATTATGGTATTTTTCCTATCAAAATGTGTTTTCTTATAATAAAAACATGGGAGTTCTCTGGTTGGGTGTTTAGAAATTTTATAAACTGTGGTTATTAAAATGAATCTTGGTAATTTAGATAATTTTCTTCTGCTTTGATAACTTTGAAACTTTTAGTATTATATCTAACCCTTTAGAGTTTCTGGAAATATAGGTAAATGTGCATGGAATTCTTTTTTAAAATGTATGATTTAGCTTCAAGCACAAGTGTGAGTGCCTAAGTTCTATCCTATGTCAACTTCTTTGAGATTAAAACAAGATTTTTCTTCATATGGTAACATCTACTTAGACTTTTCATTAAACATATTTGAAAGCAATGAATATTATAGGGTAGAAAAAATGAATGAATTATAGTTTCTACTGCTTCTTAGTCTCTGAGATTTGTGGGATTTATGGAATATTTTTGAAATAAATTTCCTTTCCAATATTACGTACTATATCTTTTTACTGTAAAGCAGATAGTTACTATCTGTCGCCTTTTAAGACTTACAGTGTTCTAGGCACTAAGTGCTTTAACACATTGTTAATTAATTCCCACAACAATTCTATTATATAAAGGAAGAAGCCGAGATTTAGAGCTTTAACCTTTCTCTAGGTTACTCAGATGTAGTGGGTGTTGGAGCTAGAATTCAAACCCATTTTGCATGATGCCAAATACGTCTTGGTAATAGAATGTGGTTAAAACAAACCATTACGTTTGGAAATGTGAACTTCTTATCAGGTATAAAGTTGACTTTAAGATTCTCTCATATTGTATTAATCCTTCTCTAATAGTCTCACTCTTTTTGAATTTTTACTAGAGTATGATGTGTGTGTGATGGCATGGTATGGAATATGTGGCTGACATATACCATCCAGTGGTCTACTGTCTCTTACTGTTCTTCTTCATTCAGCTAGTTAATTATGTAGATAATCAGCTGAAATTTTGTTTATTATGTTCTCTTGATATTAAATTATTTTGTAACAGAACCCAAGCATACTGAAATAAATTGAACTTAAAACACCCAAATTTTCCAACTCATAAGCTCGGAAGATCAAGGATATTATAGGTCCAAAATGTTTTCTAAACTCTGGTTATTGACAGGTTTTTTTTGAAACAAATATTCAGATAATCCTTAAGCTTAATTAGTTCATTCTTGATTTTACCTCAGGGTAATTGGGAATGTGTCCTCTGTCTCTCAGTAAACTATAATTTTATGTTTATTCTTGAATTATCATTGTTCCTCATTATAAAATCATTGTTAAATTCTTATGGCTAAAGGAATTCATTGGTACAGCTAGGCAACCAGACAGCTACCATAAACAGCTTTCTTCTGCCATCTCCCAGTTGGAAAATCATAGAAGATGATCCTGGTTTGCCTGGCTTAGGTCATATGGCATCCCTTGTACCATTATCTGTGGCACGATATATTGAGATTGGGCCAACTTGATTATAGGCTTATCCCTAAGGTCAGGATGTCTTCTGTGACTAGAAAACAAAGAAAAGGATGACCACCATTACCCATTTATTGACTACATAATATGTGCCTATTTTTTGCCAACATTTTAGAGCTTGGCTCAGTAATAATCAATAAAATAGTTCATTGACTCCAGTGGATAATCTGGGGCTCAGAGAGTTGTAGAGCCTTCTCTTCTCTCCACTAACACTAGAGACTACATTACTCTTCCTTAGTGCAAAGAAAGAAATGGCTAAATAAATGTATAAAATGTATTAAAAGTGTGCATTATATGTGTGTAAAAAAGAATTAACTGTATTATTAAGTGATAAAGCCTTCAAAGTAATACATTTATTGTCTTGTTTATCTTAATCATTATTTCTTTACCTTAGCTGAGGGATGCTATTATAATCATTTACAATATTTGTTAGTGTGTAAAATAAGCAACTTACTGCCTTATACAGCTAGCTACTGTTCAATCCCAAACCTGAATTCCTTTTTTTAATATTCTCTTTTTTTATATTTACTTATTTATTTTTTGGATGCGTTGGGTCTTAATTGTGGCATGCAGGATCTTTCATTGTGGAGAGTGGGCTCTTCAGTGCAGTGCACAGGCTTCTCTCTAGTTGTGATGCACGGGCTCCAGAGTATGTGGGCTCAGTAGTTGTGGCACACGGGCTTAGTTGCCTCGCGGCATGTGGGATCTTAGTTCCCTGACCAGGGACTGAACCGGTGTCCAGTGCATTGCAAGACAGATTCTTAACCATTGGACCACCAACAAAGTCTCCAGCCAAACCTGAATTCTAACCTTCTAATTCCAAAGAATATTACACATCTCTCCCAATGATATGCCTTGCTTTTTATATATTTTAAGCCACATGGTAGCTATTTTATATACACTGTAGTTGGTTGTAACTGTTTTTCTCATACCTGAGTGATGGCCATCTGCTTCCAGTTTTTATGCTTTATTTTCAGTCATTGACTATGTTGTAGTTGTGAACATATGTTTGTTTTTTAGTTATTCACTTAATACATATTTATTGAGTACTTGCTATATATATATATATATATATATATTTATATGTATATATACACACACAAACATACCCAATATATACTTTTTTTTTTTTTTTTTTTTGGTACGTGGGCCCCTCTCACTGTTGTGGCCTCTCCCGTTGCGGAGCACACGCTCTGTTCGCGCAGGCTCAGCGGCCATGGCTCACAGGCCCAGCTGCTCCACGGCATGTGGGATCTTCCCGGACGGGGGCACGAAGCTGTGTCCCCTGCATCGGCAGGCGGACTCTCAACTACTGCGCCACCAGGGAAGCCCCCAATATATACTTTTATAAAATAAATTATTATTTTGTATTGTATTATTCAAGACACTGGATTTTTCCAACAGAGGGGTGGTTTTCTTGCAGGCAAAGAGATCACTTGCTGGTAGTATTTACAGGAGGATCTTTTTTTGTTGAGCATATCTTTTGCATATATTGTATTGTAATATCCTTATATTTATCTGTAGGTTTATAAGCATGCACAGATATAATATTATACAAATAAAGTATTATTTACAATATGGGAAAAGCTAAATAAAGTTTGAATTAGAACTTGGTAGGAAAGATGGTGCTTGAGCAGATGGTTTTGTTAGTAAACTGGTTGCTGTTTTTTTTTTTTTTTTTACAGAAATGATATAAGCTTATTTTAGAAAGTTTGCAAAATACACCTAAGAAAAAATAATGAAATAAAAATAACCTGTAATCTCAAAAATAAATCACTGATAAAAATTTTGATATCTATTTCTAATTTCTTTTGCAGATATATATCCATATCTGTTTATATAAACATATTTGTTTAAATAAACAATATGAGCTATGCTATACACTTTGATTTGACTGTTATTCATGATAGACTTTTGAACATTTATTTCAGTTTTCCCTCCATTATAAAAAGCCTTGCGGGACTTCCCTGCTGGTCCAGTGGTTAAGGCTCCATGCTCCCAATGTAGGGGGCCTGGGTTTGATCCCTGGGCAGGGAACTAGATCCTACATGCATGCCGCAACTAAGAGTTCACATGCCGCAACTAAGAGTCCTCATGCCACAACCAAAGACCCTGCATGATGCAACGAAGATCTCGCATGCTACGCTGAAGATCCCACGTGCCACAGTGAAGATCCCATGTGCTGTGACTAAGACCTGGCACAGCCAAATAAATAAATAAACATTTTAAAAACCTTGCAATGAATATGCTTATTTCTTCTCTAGGAGTACATTTTTGATCCCCTGCATAAATTTCTAGAAGTGAAGTTTCTTGATTTAGGGGCATACAGAGTATTCAGGAGAATATAACATACTGACAAATCGAAGATTACTAATCCAAAAGGTTGATCTGGTTAGTAATGACTAATCTAAACCTCACAATCATATTTCAGCTAGTTAAATCTGTTTTTTTTTTTAATGAGATGTACATACTGATTAATCCTTAGCACTATCTCTAAAAGTGTTAGCACTCTCTCTGTACTCTCATCCCCAGCTTAGAAGAGTTGTCATATGTAGATGATAAAAGTAGATTATTAGATGACAGAATACAGATTTTGTGAACCAAAATTTAAGGACTATGCTTTTCCAAAAACACAAATTTAGAAAAAGCAAGATAACATCTGTTATTCTTTTCAGGCTGATCAGTTGATGTTCGCTTTGCATTTCGTTCGAGGCATGCATCCTGAACTTTTTCAAGAAAATGTAAGTGGAAGGAAAGGAGAAAATTATTTAAAAAGTTGCATAGAAATCTGGTAATGGGCGGACTTATGGTTAGATTAGAAGTTACTTAAGGCTAGAAATTACATGTCAATCTATTTTTTACTTAGTTAGAAGTTTATTGTAAGATGCTGATTTACAGTTCTACTCTCGTTTGGGTGAGCCCAATATTCTGAAGCAATGGTAAGGCAGGGAAAGAACTCTAACTTACCATGCTACCTAGATTTTTCTGAACACAAGTCCACTTTTCCAGGGCACCAGAAGAGTCAGCCTTCTTATTTCCCTCGTCTAAGCAGTGGAACTGATGAATATAAAAAAGTTAAACAATATGGGTATGCCACTACATTATTTATTACCTCCACTGACTTGCTCAGAGTCAGCAGATGAAGCAAGAGGGTGGGCAGTTCTCAGAAGCCTTCTTTGAGCCTGTAGGTTTATGTTAATATTTTAATGTATAATTTATCTTTTTCTGTCTGTGACTTCATTTCTGGTCTACCATATAACCCCCTCTCAAACTTGAAAAGAATTTCCTTCAAGATAGAACTAAGTAATCCATCTCTGACCTGCTTCTAATATTAAAAAAATTATTTGTAAGTGATTTTTCTCATTATTATGCCATTATCATTAAAGTGAGCATTCAGTAGCCAGGGTGGCAGCAAATAGTATATATGGACAGTGCACTTTGACCTAGTAACCTTTAACTCTCTATGGTCAGATTGTAACTATGCTCTGGGTTCCCCTCATTTGAATAGTTAAAAGAAGGCATACCATTCCATGTGACTGTTTTCTCTTTTTCTCTAACTCCACATGCTCTGGCTGACTTGTATAGTTTCTTCCAAATTTAACTTGACTCTTTTTATTTACACTATTTACTTTGATGCCTTTCCCTCCTCCTGTATGTTTTTCACCATGCTCAGTATGTTCTGCTGTATAAGACTTAATTTTCCCTAGTTTTCCCTCCTGGAGTATAAATAAATTATCATTGGGAAGGAGAACAGTTTTATTTGACTCGCATAAAGTAGTACTGATAATTTGTATTTTATTTATTTGTGACTATATAACTTCAGTAGGAAGAATGAGTGGTCAGAGTGGGTGGAGGCAGGAAGTATGTTGCTTTGATAATTTTTCCATATGGCTCTCAAATTTTAATATGTCCTGGCTTTATTTGCTGGCCAATGTGTAACAAATAATATGGTAGTGCCCATAATTATCTGAATGGGTAACCCAGAGTGAAGACATAGATTTTCTAAGAGCTCTAGATTCTGTAACACTTGATCAATTTTGATTCCATGGGTTTTTTTTAAAAAAAGGAGTAATGGCAGTCTTCTCCCAATATGTTGGAAAAGATAAGTTAATGGTAGTACTTTTCTCTATTTTTCCCAATATACACAATTTTTAAACTTTGTATGCATCTTACTGCTTATCTATTAGTGAGGAGTAGTATATAATAGGAAAAATTAAAGGTAGTGACAAATGCTAATTGAATAAGACATTTAAATTTTTAGATGTTGAGACTCACATGTATAATGTAGTTCTATTTTTTTTTCCCTATTTTTCCCAATATACACAATTTTTAAACTTTGTATGCACCTTACTGCTTATCTATTAGTGAGGAGTAGTATATAATAGGAAAAATAAAAGGTAGTGACAAATGCTAATTGAATAAGACATTTAAATTTTTAGATGTTGAGACTCACATGTATAATGTAGTTCTATTTTTTTTTCCCTATTTTTCCCAATATACACAATTTTTAAACTTTGTATGCACCTTACTGCTTATCTATTAGTGAGGAGTAGTATATAATAGGAAAAATAAAAGGTAGTGACAAATGCTAATTGAATAAGACATTTAAATTTTTAGATGTTGAGACTCACATGTATAATGTAGTTCTATTTTTTTTTTTTTTTTTTTTTTTTTTTTGGTTTTCTGGGCCTTTTCCTTTTTTTGCCTCTCACATTGCGGAGCACAGGCTCCGGACACGCAGGCTCAGTGGCCACGGCTCACGGGCCCAGCCGCTCCACGGCATGTGGGATCTTCCTGGACTGGGGAATGAACCCGTGTCCCCTGCATCAGCAGGCGGACTCTCAACCACTGCGCCACCAGGGAAGCCCTGTAGTTCTATTTTTGTCTTAAAATTATTCTACTAGATTTTGTTTTAATGTTTTATGTTGGTATGGTACATGAACTCATTCTTATGTTAATGTCGTAGAGTGGGAAGGTATGAAAGGAGTTTTATTTTTTTCCATGTTTTTAGAAAGCTAAATTGTAAGCTGTCTTATGGGGAAATTTAAAAAGATTTGTTAAATGGTTAGAATATTTTTTGTGTTTCTCATATTTTTATTTAATAGGAATGGGATACATTTACAGGTGTGGTTGTTGGAGACATGTTGCGGAAAGCTGTAAGTTAGAATAACAAAATTATTATTTCACTCTTAGTGAAAATAACTCTGGCTTTGATTTCATGAAATATAATTTGCTTGAGAGAAGTTTTAAATTACTGTTGAAATTATATTTTAATTAGAGGACTATATCTTTGCCTCTATTGCCCTAATAGAAAATGGACCTATATGTGTTTTTTTGTCCTTGAGGACATGTATTATTCTGAGAATATTAATTAAATATAAGAAATTAATATGGTTTCTTTTTTTCAGTGTATATATATTTGGTTCCAAGAACACTTTTGTAATTTGAAGAAGATCAAACCTCGTAACATAACTAGGAAAATTTTCTTATATAAGTAAAGTTAAAAATTACTTCATTTAACTTTTGACAACTTTATTCAAATTTCGCTTTTTCTCTAGTAATTTTCTATTTAAACATGTAATGGATAATATTATTCTTCAAAGCAACCTATCCAAACTGTAATGCGAAACCTAGATTATATCTGACATGCAAAATATAATTAAAAATAATATAATTCTATGGAAGTTTCTTATTACATTTGAGTTTTTCTGAAGTTTTACAAAAGATTAAGCCCTATGAAAATGAATGTAACATTTGTCTAAATGTTTACCAGTACCTGACGTTATGTAGAATTTTACCATATTGACTTGTAAAATAGATAAAAATTAAAGAATACATAGAATGAGTTTTTTTCAAAATAGTGTTCATAAAATTAGCTGGTCAATTTTTAATTTTTTTGAAGTCTGAGTTTTACCAGATATACTAAAGAAAATAATTGCTCTTATTAAAAAGGACTCTCAACAAAGAATACGTGATCAACTTCCATCTTGGATTGATCAGGAAAGAAGCTGGGCAGTGGCAACATTAAAGGTATTCCTCTTCTACTATGAGAGATTTATTTTTTTTAGTATTTGAGTTATTTCTGTTTATATTTTTATGTGCTACTTATTCATACTCAGTGTTGATATTTTTGTGAAAATGATGTAAAATCCCTGGGTAAAAGAATATCCAAGAATTATTCTGATTAGTCCTTTAAACAATTTTAATAGAATGCAAAAAATCAATATTATGAAAAATAGTGAGAATTTGAAGAGATTTCTGGATTATTGGGCAGGACCTCTGAACTATTTCATGAACTCCTAATGGCAAACTTAATAATAACATGATACAGTTAAAATTGTTTGAACAATTGATCTACTGAGAGGTTACACTTGGAAAAGAATCTTAACTGTGTTAACCTAAAAATTATAATGATGGGGCTTCCCTGGTGGCGCAGTGGTTGAGAGTCTGCCTGCCGATACAGGGGACACGGGTTCGTGCCCCGGTCCGGGAAGATCCCACATGCCGTGGAGCGGCTGGGTCCATGAGCCATGGCCGCTGAGCCTGTGTGTCTGGAGCCTGTGCTCCGCAACAGGAGAGGCCACAACAGTGAGAGGCCCACATACCGGAAAAAAAAAAAAAAAAAAAAATTATAATGATGCTTTTTTTCACATACTAATTTCTTGTTAAGTAAAGAAATGCAAAACATTTAGGAAAGGGGGGCTTTCCTATTCAGAGAAAGTTTATAATATACATTAGTGTTTTATTATCATTTTAGTTTATAAAACATTTTCAAATGAATTATCTTATTCAATTATCACACAAACCTTAAGAGGGAGGTATTATTAACTTTCTTTTTACAGATGAGAAATAAGAATCAGTGCAGCGAGTTGCAAAATGCATGAACCTATTTTCTTTTCAATTTCATACATATTTTTGAGGAACTGTTATGTGCCAAGCATCATGTTGAATACTTCAGATGCATTACTTATTTTATTATCACAATGACCTATTGAAGAAGTCATAATTATGCCTGTTTTTGAGAAGAGCAAACTGAGGTGTAGACAGGTTAAATAATTTATCCCATATCAAATAGCTGGGAAGTTTTGGAACTATGATTTTAATTAAGGCATTCTGACACCACATTCCTACATGCCTTTGATATGTAGGTTTTCCAAATATAGTGTCTTTTTCCTCTCTTTCTCTCCTTCCTTCTTTCCCCTCCCCACAGTTTCTTCCCCTGGTATGACTTGGGCAGTGAGGATGGGGGCATGGGGAAGAAAAAGCCTAACTCCCAACAGTTCTGTCTGTGTTCTTTACTCAGGCTAAAGTGTTGTTTTTGTGGGGAATGAAAGACAAATATACTTCTCTCAAAATCTGTAACATATGTTTCCATTCTTCCTTTCCTTTCCCTGCTTTTCTTCACAACTATTCTAATGGTACAGTAGCACATGGTTAAAACGGTAGGAGTAGCCAGCAGTTATTGATGACTTACTATGTTCAAGGTATGCAGAATTTGAAAGTGGATCATCTCATTAGATATTTTCAACATTGTGAGGGAGCTACTGTTATTGTCCTCATTTAACAGATAAAGAAACTAAGGCCCAGAGTGATATAGTCACTTATTTATGGTCACTGAGAAAGTATAGAGTCAAGATTTGAAACTGGGCATATTTTTGCACTCTAACATGGAACTCCATTCTGGCAATGGTTAAAATTTGCACATGGTTTTAATGAAAGTATTCTTTTCTCCACAAGGTGGAGATAGGTACAAATGTTTTTACATAGAGAAAAGATTTGTTAATTTGCAGTATTGATTTAGTACTACTTTGGAAATATTTGCTTTTATTTAATTCTGGATTAGATAAGTCTGCCATACTGTTTCTGATCTAGAAGTGATTAAATAAGCCAACACGAATTAGAAAACAAATGGTAAATATCAATAATTGGTTTCCACTTACTTTTTTTAGTGTGTGTGTGTATTTAGTATGGATGTATGTATGTGTATTTATATTTGCTTGTAGCTCAGTATATATGTTTATTTTTATTTTTTAGATTGTTCTCCCCAGTCTTTATCAGACCCTCTGTTTTGAAGATGTAGCTTTGTGGCATACTTATTATCATAATTCAATGTGTGAGCAAGAGTTTCCATCTATTCTTGCAAAGAAAGTTTCCTTATTTCAGCAGGTAAATTGTCTAAACGCGTAAATGTATTTAATGTTTCTGTTGTCACTCAGAAGCCGTTTAAATAAAAGCTTTGCCTTTAGGGTGTCACATAACCTTAATGGGCATATGTGGGAAAAGGCTTTCTGCTTTTGCCACCTTGTCCAGACAGTGAAATCATTGGCAACGTTTCTGGGTAGAGTGTCTCCCACTGTAGCTTTTCTTACTTCCTCTGCCTCTGACCCAAGGGGGATTTCTCAATAGAGAACACGTCTTACCGAAATAAGTTTAAGTATAGATTGTACAGGTTCTTCACTCTTTTCCCAGGGTTCTCTCTAAGGAAAAGACCTTATGGTGAGGAACAGGGAACTTTTTTTTTCCATTTTGTTTTGAAATATAATGATGAAACCTACTGGTGGGTTCCACTTAGTCTTTTGGCTAGACCAAAGTCTTAGGTTGGAGAGGACACAGGAGTTGACACTCCAGGAAATGACCCTTCCATTTATATTTCTTAACTAGGCTGCTGGCTGTGCTTCTGCCCCTTGTTGAATTCTGTTTCACCAAGTGTGTTTAAAAACAATGAAAAAAAAAAAAAAAAAACTGAGAAAAACTTCATTTGAAAACTTAAACATCTAGGAACAGATAGATATGATTCAGCATAAAATTGGTAGTTTGAAAATTTTGGTTAAGAGTTTTATGCTTCTGCACTGCTGTCACCAAGAATGCTTTACCTACATACCCTTATTTTCACCGGCCATTGGGCCCTTTATTAGTTCCTGAAGACATAGCTAACGCTATGACCCTTACATGCTGATGTTTACTTTTGATGGTAGATCTGATGAATTTTAGTAATATTTTGGCTATTAAAGACGTGTCTTTTTATATACCTATTGTGACAGTTTTAGGCATAGTAAATATTGTGGTAAACATTTGTTTGATTTAACATTAACTATTGTTTAGTTACAGCTGTTATAGGAACTTTATTATTTAAAAATACTCTGTACTTTATTTTAAGGTTCTTGTGGTACAGGCTCTCAGACCAGACAGATTGCAAAGTGCCATGACTCTATTTGCATGTAAAACTCTGGGTAAGTACACTTCTTTTCTAGAACTAGACCAGTGACCTGAAGTATGTGTTTTTAATTTACATTTTATTCTATGCTGACCTTAGTTTAGAAAGATTATACATTTTTTCCCCTTTATCGTACTTATCTTACAATCTCTACCTGTTTTTTTTGGTTTTTTGTTTTTATTTTGGCCACTCCACGGGGCATGTGGGATCTTAGTTCCCCTACCAGGGATCAAACCCGCACCCCCTGCACTGGAAGCACGGAGTCTTAACCACTGGACCGCCAGGGAAGTCCCTTGAAGTAACCTTTTACTACCATTTTTTGAGAAAATAGAAGCAATAAGACAGAAAATATTTATTTCCCACTAACAGTTCTACCAGCTACCTATAATGGTACTCATACTCATTCTGCTTTCCCTTCTGTTACTCTGAATGAATGTCCTTGCTCCAATTAAAGGCCAGCCATTTGCTCTTTCCTTTTTCATTCCTGCCATTATCCCTTTTTCCTGAATCATCAATTTCACCTTCTTTACTGGATCCTTTCTGTTAGTATACAAACATATTTTAGTATCACCTGTCTTAAAAATGCTGCCCATGACCCTCTATCCCCTTTCTTTCATCCCATTTCTTTATTTTCTTCTACAACAAAACATCCTGAAAGTGTGTCCATAGTCAAAGACCACAGTAATCCATTTCCTCAACTCTTATTCTACCTTCAACTCATTCTATTTGTACTTCCTCCCTAAAGTTCCACAAGATTGCTCTTGTTAAGGTTAATGAGGTCTTCTTCCATATATCTATTTCCAATAGTGACTTCTGTGCTTTTATCTTACTTGATCTCTCAACAAAGTTGTCCATTTGTTCCTTCTTTAAACACTTTCCACTTTCTTCTCTTGATTATTATGTTTCCTCTTTCATTTCTCAATCCTTTTAGGATTTTCCTTTTCTCTTTCCTTTATTGGTTGCTTCTCTGTATGTTGGAGTATTTTTTCTTCCTTCTAAATGTTGGAATATTCTTCCTTCCACTGCAGTCTTGCCCTGGGTTCCCTTCTTTCATTATTATACATTCTTTCATGACCTCATTCAGTTCCTGACTTTAAATATCATTTGTAAATTACTGATTTTATATCTCTTATTTCTAACCCCAACCTCGCTGTGGAATTCTAGGATCATATATACAGATGCTCATTTGATGTTTTCTTATGAATGTCAGATGACCAATACAGAACTTTTGATTTGTCTGTATTAGGATCCACTCAGTTGCTCAAAACAAAAAACCCAGAAGTGATCCTTTCTCTCTTTTCGTTACTTCATATACCCAATCTACCAGCTAGTCCTTTTGGCTCCAACTCTAAAACTTACTCTGAATTCATTTACTTGGTGTCATTATTACCAACCTAATGCAAACCACCATCATCTCTCACCTCATTTACTGCCATAGCTTTGGCTCTATCTTCATAATGTGGAGAATCTAATTACTTCTCATACTTCCACTACCATCTACCACTTTTTTCAAGCCACCATTATATCAGGCTTTCTTTCTTTCCCACTTCCAGTTTATTCTCAGCATAGCAGCTAGAGTGTCTCTTGAAATGTAAGTTAGATCATATCACTTCTCCGTTCTAACTCTCTGATGGCACCTCATCTTTCTCAGAGTCCCTCCATTGTCTTACAGGGTCTTACCTCTTCTGGTCCTCTTCTTCCCCTCAGATCTCATCTCCTACCACTGTCACCCTTGCTCAATCTTTAACAACCACAGTAGCCTTTTTCCTGTTTTTCTAGTGCTGCAAGTTTGTTTCTGCAGTCTCAAGGCCTTTGCACTTGCTGTTCCTTCTTCCAGCAGATTTCCACCCCCAGTTATCACCCTTGCTTCTCTTCTCAATTGTCATCTTTTAAGTTAATACTTTCTCTGAGCACTGTCTATATAATAATGTACTCTTTCCTCAGCTCTCCATATCCTCCTTTGCCTTGTTTATTTTAACTATTATCACCATCTGACATATTGTTATTTACCTGTTTATTAATTTCCTTTTCCCCAACTAGAATATTAGCCACATGAGGGCACAAGCTTTGTTTTGTTCATGGTTGTGCCCCAGTGCCTTAAACAGCTTCTGGCGCATGGGCACTGTAAGTGTGTGTTAAATCAGAGACCGCTTTCCTCATCGGTCTCCCTGCCTCAGTTTGCGCTTCCTCTTCAGTCCATTCTCTCCAGAAGGCTGTGTGAGCTTTTAAAAACTTAAACCAAATCATCTCTCTTTTTTGCTTAACATTTCCAAAATCTTTTCAAAAAACACTTAGAATGAATTCCAGATTTATATATGATTGATGCTTGAACAGCATGGTTTTGAACTGTGCAGGTCCACTTTTATGCAGATTTTTTTCTAATAGTAAATACTACAGTACTACATGATCCACAGGTGGTTGAATCTGAATATGTGGGACTCCGGGTATGGAGGAACTGTGGATACAGAGGAACTACGGATACAGAAGGTCAACTCTAAGCTATGTTCAGATTTTTGCCTGTGGACGGTCAGTGTCCATAACCCCCCTGCATTATCTACGGGTCAACTGTATAAGCTTACAAAGCCCCACACAGTCTGGCCCCAACCTTCTTCTCTAACCTCATCTTGCTTCCTTCTTGTCTGCCACTGTGCCTTCGTGGGGAAAACAACCTTAGGGCTTTTGCACTGTTTGTTCTCTGTTTTTGTTTGTTTTTTCTTTTTTATTAATTGTTGGCTCCTCTATATCATTCAGATGTTAACGTTGCATTTTCAGAAAGGCCTTTCCGGGCCATTTAATCAGTACCAACACATCTACCTGCTTTAATTCTTTACCCATTTCTTAACACTAACTGATATATTTCTTGCTCATTTATATATATTTTTTGTCTGTTCCTATAACTCTAATGCAAGTTTAAGTAAAATGAGGCAATTTCAGAGAAGTTCTTAGGAGGCTATTCTTTTCTCACCCATGTAGTCTTTAAAAATATGCTCTTTGTGCCACATTGCACATGACCTTTCTTATTGAATTTGTAGTTTGACCCTCTGCCTACTCTCTGAAATACTTCTGTATTGTATTATTTCATCTCTAGGTTAAATGACATTTAAGGTTTAATGGCATAAGTGCAAACCTCATGATATGCACATATTCAAATGCTTTGAAAGTTTAATATACTTCTAAAATTATACTCTACCTATTTCTAAGCAAAAGCCATATATACTGGTATATGGCCTGATGACTTTGTATTTGGTCAAGTGGTTTATTAATACAGTTTTTATATAAAATTGGAGGTTTTACTGTATGAATAAGTTTTAAAAGTTCATATTGCTGGAAAATGACAAGCAAATTTTGGTTATCTTTTTAATCAAATTTTAGAGATTTGATTTCAAATGTAATTTCTCAAACATTATTCATATGGAAAGACTTTTATTAAGTTTTAGCAATCCTTTTTATAATCTATAAACTTTAAAATAGTAACTTATAAAGATGCATTTATGAAAGTAGTTTTGGTTTGAAGATTTAAGTTAGCAGAACATGCCTCAAAACTTTCAGGCATGCTGCTTTAATATAATCCTACAAATCAAGCCTTGTGTACTAACACAGTCTACTGCATTACTTTTTCAAAATAGCAGTTACCAGATGCAGATATTCTGACTTCTATAATTCTGATTTAATAATTATTCTGAGCACAATATTATGCTGTGTGTATTGAGGTACTCATGTTCACAGAAGATGGTGCAATAGCTGCAAGAACCAGTAACTTCTCAAAGGTTCTTCATCAAAAAGTCTTTTTGAGCCTTGAAACTTTCCTAGTTTTACATTCCTCTACTTCTCTTATCCATGCTAACATCCCATCCCATGATCTTTGCTTCCATAGCTCAATCTGTCCTGTGACATCTGTGTCTAAGAGAAAAGGAAGGACATAAGGAAATGTGTATTCATTTTCTATTGCTGCTGTAACAAATTGCCGCAAATTAGCAGCTTAGAACAATACCCATTTATTATCTCATAGTTCTATAGGTCAGAAGTCTGGTAGGCCCTCCTGGTTTCTCTGATCCAAGTTGCCCAAGGCTAAATAAATACAGGTGTTGGTCATTTGGACTCTTATTAGGAGGTTCTGGGAAGAATCCATTTCCAAACTCACTCAGCTGAATTTGCACCATGCAGTTGGACAATTGAGGTTCTTTTTGTCATTTTGAGTTCTTAGAAGTCTGCCTCAGTTTTTAGAAGCCTTTGCATTCTTTGATTGTATTTGTGGCCCCCTTCCTCCTTCTTTATAGCCACCAATGGCAGATTGATTTCTTCTTATGCTTCACATCTCTGACCGCCCCCTCTGCCTCATCTCTCCTGTTCTCTCTTCAGGCTGCATCTCTTTGACTTTAAGCTGGAGAAGTTTTTCTGCTTTCCAAGGCTCAAGTGATTAAATTGGCACACTTGGATAATATGGGATAATCTTATTTTAAGATCCACTACCTTAGTTACATCTACAAAGTCCTTTCACAGAAGTACCTAGGTTAGTGTTTGATTGAACAACCAAGGGGTAGGAATCTTGAAAGTGGTATCTTTAGAATTTTACTCTACCACAAAATGTTGGACATTTTTTGTTTGTTTCCAGGCTTGAGTATTATTGCATTTCTAAAGAGTATTTTCCCATTTAATTGGTTGATGTGTGTTAGATTAGATAGTGGTTGTCGATTTTCCTTCTTTTTATTGATATTTGTGTTACATTTTAAGAGTTGTCTTTTTTCTCTGATAAAGGAAAAGTAATTTTCTTATCAGTCTCTTTGTTAAGGAGGATGAGATGAATGAGGAAGAATGAATCAACTATACTTGCTAACTATAATAGTTTGATAGTATTTGCTGCTTTCTTTACTCAGATACCTAAAAAGTACAGGAGCAATATTCTTTCCTTTTTATGGGCTTCCCTGGTGGTGCGGTGGTTGAGAGTCCGCCTGCCGATGCAGGGGACATGGGTTCATGCCCCGGTCCGGGAAGATCCCACATGCCGCGGAGGGGCTG